AAATTTAGTAAAATAGTGTATAGGGTGTTCTAAATTGCGTGTTTTTGGAGGATATTTTGAGCAAACTTTAAGATGCTGTATCTCGGTATAAAAATCCCCGCCCCTTCTAAGGGACTATTTTACGTAGGTAAGGTTTATTTATACTTTTTTGATATTCCTGAAGGTGGCAAAAAACCACGAACTTATAAATTAAGATGGACTGCTGAAAAAAAGGTTAATGTTGGGTTAATGCTTGTTTATTAGTTGATTTGAATTTCGCGCCATGTGAGTGCACATCATGGCGGCCCCCATGTAGGTGTGATTTGTTAATTCAGCATTAACAGTCCATATTAATTTATTAGTTCGTGCAAAAAAGTAACCAAATGAGTTACGGCACTCAATACCGGTACTGATCTCAACTTGTTATTGAACTTACATGTCACCTCACATGCTAGGAACATTATTTTGTTAATATTGTTATTATGCATTCCCATCATTACAAACAATAAGTTTTGCTACACAATTTCATATTAATTTGTCAATTGGTTTTTTCCCAGCCTATTCTGTTTTTATTCGGTGAACTACCATTTCTAAAGTTTATTCTTGCAATGTAATTTATTTGGACATATTTCCGAACTTCCGTAATCTTCATAATATGAACAATAATTATTAATCAATAACATTTCACAATTTGAGTGTTTTTTTTACGTTTCTTCCCTACTGTACTTCAGATCATAGCGTTGTTTACAACTAACGTAAGAGGGCCCTGCTTAAGATGTTTGATCACGTGCCACTTTTCGATTTCATTCCGAGGCCATTTTTAAACGTTGCCGGGTTGACTTTATTTATGTGTTCTGTAGTGTGAAGTTAGCGTAGAACTTGATGGGGATTAAGAACACTACAAAGTGAAAATCCCTTAACCACCATTAATATGTGTGTGGTAAATTTACAAAATTGCTGGTATAGGAAATTTTATACATTTAACGCTTCATAATGAAAGTAAGTACTTTAAGAAAAGAAAGTATTCAAGCAGATAAAAGTCGAAATGTCACAGTGCTGCCACGATCTCGTACACCTCAAAAGTTTCGTTCAAGTTTGCAGAAAGCAGAGCATGTCATGGATATACGGGATTTGCGTTCAGGGAAAAGGGGGTCGTTTCGTATTTAGATTCGCCGAGGTATTTAAGTAAAAATTTGGTGAGAAAGCGGGGTATTTGAGGGTGATCAAACCAGAGCAACAGGTTTTTGAGTTTCACATTATGAGGAGCTAAGAACCAACGTTTCGCAAGGTAAGAGTAATTAACGGTTTATTTATTACGGAGCTAGCTGTAGTATGTGGGTATTATTCCATTGCAGAAGATTGTTACAGTAAAATTTTTGTCAGTGCCGTAGAAATTAAATTTTATTTTAGGAGCGCAGAGTGTTCAACCCCGGCAAGTGTAACTAGCCATTTAGAAACGTATGCAGAAGTTATTAAAAAATTCCTATCCCTGTTTCTCCACATACAATATACTATGAAAGAGTGATGTGAAAATATAACACCACTTTCAGATATTAAGAGAACATATATAGAAATTTTTATTGACTATAATCTAATTGGCCGAATATTAATCATACAATATAAAATATTACAACAATATTTTTACAATTATTTTAGAAATTAACTAATAAATAGATACAACAAACTGTGTGCAGTATAAAAATACCTTAACATGAATACTTCTATGTACTCGCTGAAACAATTACATATTGCAATAAGACCGTGTAAATCTCTACTAAATTAAAAAACGAAAATGTGAAAACATCAATTCTTTTCATTATTAGTAGTTCTACGACGCGTGCTTGTGAATTGCATACGTGGTTTATAGAGATCATCGCTGGAGTATCGCTGTCTGTTTGCCGCTAAAATAAAATAAGACGAATTAAGTGTTCAGATTACCCAAGGACAAAAAATACATCCTAACAGTGGGTTGCATTAAATTCGATTTGTTTTTAAACATATTCCAAAATCATTGTTGCATTGGACTGCGTATAACTTTCCCCCTTCTCAAATTTTTCTCACGTTTTTTAAAATCTTTTTAAATCTACTGTTCAATGGTATTAGTATTATGTTATATAATTTAATTACAATTAAAACCCTTTTTTTTAATACTTAACTGTCAAGTAGAACTCACCTCTGTTTCTCCTAGGTCTACCTTCAGATACTTCGTTTCTTTTTTCGCTATTAAATGATTTTTCACTGTCTGCTGGACTCAGAGGCAAATTAAAATTTTCTAAGGTATTTACTAAAAAGGAACATAAATAAGACACGAAAATATTTTCAAAAATGGAATATATACCAGCGCTGTCCGTTAATTTTGCCTTTTTTCCTTTATGTTTCGGTGTGCTGGCGGGCTCAATCGTGGAATTGTTGAGCTTTACACTTAAAAGATCTGAAAGAACTGATTTAAAATCTCTAAAGAAAAACGGAATACAATATAATATCAAGAAATACAAAAGAATGCAAGAGATTTAGCATCCATTTTGTGCAAAGTGTAATTGTATCATAAAATCTCGTTTCTTGAAAATTAGTAAAATTCATTAGGATTCTCTTGTATTCCTTGCTATCGGATACCACATGTTTGTACAAGAAGACCACATGCACTACCCCCTCACAAGATACTAACCTCCCAACTCTTTGCTAATTTTATTATTGTTGCGCACATCCGAGTGCTCATTAGAGATACGTTTAATACCTCTTCCAGGCGAAATAATGATCTCGTTACTTGTCACATCAACAACTTCAACTTTGGGCAGTCTATTAAAATCGCTAAACTCCTCGGTACTTTTTTTAAGTCTAGATTTGTCCTTCTCAGCCAAATCTATTAAGTACGCTTTCGACAACTTTGCAAGATCAGATTCCCACTGTGTAATGGTTTGGTTCGACTTATTTAGACAAAGTTCGGCTTCGTCGACCAGCTGCTTGCCAAAACCTTTGAAATCGTGTTTGTTTGTTACTTGCTTTTCGTTTTTAGTGCCGTCTTCTTTTTTAGTTTCTACTTCACTTTGTTCTATTTTGTGATCCTTAATTGTTTCGGAGGCGTCAACGTACGAATTATAATCGACTTGTAGAATATTTTGGGCGTTCAACTTGGCTTCGATTGCATCCCAGCTTTCTTTGCTTATTACAGAAGTCTGTAATGAAGTTTCGTCCTCAGCAGGAAGTTTAACTTCTTCAACTTTGTTTTCAGTGTCGTTCTTATTCTTTTCCAGAGCTGTATTATTGACGGTTATGTTATGAATTAGAGAACTATTTGTACTTAATAGCTCCATTTGCTTTTGTTTTTCTAATTTACCCAACTTTTTTCTGATTTTCATCAACCTTTTCGCCTCAAAAATATTGGAAGCGAATTTGGGTTTAATTAGCTTTAAATGTGGCACTGTATTCGATAACACTCTGGCATTTTCCTCTTCCGAAACGATGCATGGAATTGAAGCAATGTCCGCCGGTTGCGCTAATAGAGATATGGTAGCATCCGAGTTCCCAGAATCGGCCCCAGTGCTTGCTCCTGAATCCACCACAGACGATTCTTGACTGGACTTTTGTAACTGGGAGGGCGTTGTTAAATCGGTCAATGAGCCCGAGGAGCTGTGTGTTCCTGATTGGCCATCGCTCGAATCACGATCGGTCGAGCGACGATGAGACCTTTTTTCTTTCAAGCTGTAGTGATCGTCTTTCCTTACATCTTTACGGGAATCTCGTTTATCTTTGTCTCCTTTGTCACTTTTTCGATCTGAAGAACTATGTGAATGTTTGTCTTTTTTATCTGATTTATCACTACTTTTTTTGTTGTCCTTTGATGATGTTTTGCTCGAGTCGGAGGAACTTTTTCCATTATGTTTCGAATGAGACTTGTCATCTCTACTTTTTTTCGAACTACTATGTGATCTTGACTTTTCCTCTTTATTATCTTTAGAACTTTTAGATTCTGACGATGTTCTGCTTTTACCGTCCTTATGCTCGCCGGATTCTTTACTTTTACTATCGTGAGACTCTCGCTTCGAACTCTTTTCCTTGCTATGCCTGTGACCGGAAGAACTACGTTCACGCTCCTTGTCTTTGCTTGAACTTGACTTACTATCACCATGCTTTTGGTCCTTATCACTTTTACTTTTTTTGTCTTTATCTTTTCTTGAACTTGAATCGCTACTCTTACTGCTATGATGATCCCTCTTATCCTTGTCTGACTTCCTATCTTTGTCGCTCTTACGATCCTTACTATCGTACTTTGATTTATGAGAACTGTGCCTATGCGAGCTATGATGCTTGTCCGATTTTTTATCCGAAGAGCGTTTCTCCTCAACCTTTTTGATTTCTTCTACTTTTTCGCCAGATGACGTTATCTCCACAGTTTCTGACGACGATTGAGAATCTGGCACATCTACTGATTTCGCGCTTGTATCAAAAGTTTTAGTGCTTGATACTCTAGATGCATTGGAATCATCATTAATTTCCATTTTCATTTCTTGCTCTTCGCATACTGCAACCGAGAGCTGATCGTCTGAACTTTGTTTGGATAATTGTGAATCTGCATTAGTAATTTCAACTGGTGGTAGCTCCTTGTTTTCATTTTCAAAGCTGTGGTTTGATTCGTGGCTTATTAAACCTAGAACATAAGAACACATTTAGCACTTGATAATATACAGTGATATTTATTAAGAAGTGGTAGACATAGGAATTTATGCTCGGATTTATGTGTATTATTTTTCCCTATGTCTACTGTCTGCTGAAGGACGCCTAATTTTATGCAACCAAAATAATTTTTTTAAACAAATAAAGATCTGGCTGTCATATTAATTTATTTGAATATTGTTGCTTTGGCTCCCGTAGCTTTATTTTCGTTTGTGTGCGATATATTCAACTGAAGAAACAGTTGAATATTGTTAATTGGTATAGTACCGGTAACAGTTTAAAAAGTGTAAAGATTTATTTTCTGTTAAGCCAAAGCACAAATATTCAAACTAATTAATATGACAGCCAGATGTTTATTTGTTTTAAAAAGTTATTTTAGATGTATAAAATTAGGCTTCCTTCAGTAGAGATTTTTTCTTTTAGAAGTAGACATAGAGATAAACAATTCACATAAATCTCTATGTTTACTTCTTAATAAATATCACTGTATGTAAGTACCTATGTAATTATTTATGTATTTATTTAAAATAACCCCTTCCTCACACAGCACAACCTTTTTTGAGAGATCGTTTTCTTTTAATGTATATATGATTTACAATAGCTTACCCAATCGTTTTAAGGGGTTACCTGTGAAGTTTTTAAATTGTAAATATAAAGATTTTTTGTTTAATGAACAATGAACATTTGGAAGGTAAACTAGCTTGTCACTACTAGCGTTGGGCAAAAAAATCGATTAATCGATTATAATCAAACGATAATCGATAATCGGGTTTGATTATTCTATTAAATTAATCGATTAATCGATTATTTGATTCATCGATTATTTGATTAATCGGTTATTTGATTAATCGATTGTTTGATTAATCGATTATTTGATTAATAGGTTATTTGATTAATCGATTGTTTGATTAATCAATTAACGTCACTTTAAGCAGCTAAAATGAATTAAGATTGTATCATCAAAACTAAAGCACACCTCATCGGAGAGTAAGCTGCCTAATCATTTATTTTTATTTATTTATTTTTATTTTTGACCTTCATTTTCAAATGGGCAGGGTTTCAGCCAAGGCTGTTCTACCAACCAACCCACTATGTATTTGCAAATATCCATGCCCGAACCCGGATTCGAACCAGGGACACTTTGTTGATTATTGATTAATCGATCTGCCTAGTAATGAACGATTTGATGAGTAATGGAATTATTTTTTATTTTTATTATTAAATAATTAACGTATTTATGCATACAAACAGATATTTATCACTCCTTGTATGTGACAATCGACTTTTGATTAAACGATTAGGTGATTAATCGATGATTTGATTAATCGATTATTTGATTAAACGATTATTTGATTAAACGATTATTTGATTAATCGATTATTTGATTAATCGATTAATCAGTGTAATCGATTATTTTTCATAATCGATTATCGATTATTCAAACCCGTAATCGCCCAGCCCTAGTCACTACTAGATGGAATAACATATTCAGATAGATATTAGATACTTTTTACAACGCGTTTTCCAGAAGAACATTTACTTGCGACTTTGATTTTGTTTGTAGATATATATTGAGGTCGGATTGAAAAGCAGACGCTGATCTGAATCACACCTTACGGTTTAAAACTGCAGTAGTTTAAGTTTATTAAGCATTATAAGCATTTATTTTATTTTTTTCTTTACACTAATTTTTTTAATCAATTTTTTACAATTCTCTTTAAATGCTTTTTTAATGGTAACTGTCTCATTTGTTATATGGCTACTGCAGTTATTAAATAAAGGCATATTATTATGGTCGGTGCTTCTTGAGAAAAAAAAAAATTTCACACACGCACATTGGAAATCTAGGGTAGTATGTAATTCATACTTACCAACATAGCTATTGATAGGCCAACGCTATCAGGAACAAGGAAAACAACAACAAAAATTAATTATAATAATTCCTGTAAGTTTAGCAATTTTATTAAATGGAGTTTATTGTGTAAGTGTTTCTATTATTATTGTTATTATTATAATATAATTCTTGCTTGGGTTTTTTACGTTAATTATATTAATTGGCTCTTTATATAGGGTGATTCAAAAATGATGGATACAATTTTAGTTAGTATACATACATACAAGAAGATTACAAGCACTTTCGGACATTTCCGTTAATAACTTTTTTTCGGCTACTGCAAGGTACTCCGAGTTTTTTTTTATCGCCTCTAATTCGAGCAGCGAAAATTTTCCTACGGTCCAGTACCCCACGCGGGATACCTGCCATAAGCACAAGTGAAGGTACCAAAAGGGCACTTCTAAATAAGTTCGAAAAGCGCCAACTGGATCGCGTGCGTGAAGGTAGCCCATACTTCAGTACTCTTCTGTAGTACCGTTTGAGTACTATCTTAAAATGACAGCAAAAATTTAGTTCCTATGAAGGACACCGATATTTTTATGTACTGGCTGGCGGGATTTGGAAGCTAGCCAGTACACTGGATATCAATAACCCGCACACTAATATACAACGGTACTATTTAGTACTTCTTGGGTACTGAATACATACACAATCAGTTTCTTGGTCCCTCTAAGAGTTGCCTTGTACTGGCTACTGTCCAAATTCCGCTAGCCAGTACTCGTGAAATTGATAACCAGGATATAAACAAACAGCAGTACCATTTAGTACTGCTTAACGATTGCTTAAATGTAAAATCAGTTTTCTGATACCATTAGGATTACACTAGTACTCTAGCTAGTATAAATAAACATTAGTACGAGTTTGTACTTTCTAGGTAGTAAATGTAAATAGAATTAGTTGTGTGATAGCTTTAAAGATATACAATGCGATGAAAAATGATCGCCCATCTATTTTTACGCCACTATTACAGAGATGTCGCTAAAAATCGCTTGTCTAAAAGAAATCCGAAATTATTTTAATTACCAACAAATTTGTAATTGTTCGACTGCTCGCCTATCGGTGGGCGTTTTGAATTGGAATTTTGAATCGATATTTACTTTATTCTTACAGAAAAAACATTCTTCAACGTAAATACAGACATCTATTAATGACGAGCAGAAATACACAGACTAGCGCGAGCAATATTGTTTTAGTAAATCTGAACTAGACGAATGTCGAACGTATGCGATATGCACAATTTTGCTTGCAAAGTGACATTTGTTCGAGTGTTTCTTTCAAACAGTACGCCAATTTATCGCTGTGATTGTAAAATACGAGTATACACAGTGTCCATTTTTCGAGTGCCACTATGGGAATCTCGCTTATCTTAAGAGATAGAAACTTGATTAAATTAGGGCATAGTTGCGAATTTTCGTGCTGAATAATAATCTAAAAAGAAATTTATAATATCTTCAATAGTTTTGAAAATATGGCAAAAAATCGAAAATTTCTGATTTTCATTTTTAACTTTTTCATGGTAAACTAATTGTACTAGACCCTGTACTAGACATTTCTAATTAACACATTATTCAGACACTTTTTAATGGAGATTTCGAATATGGCATCCCGTTTTTAATAACTTTCAAGATAACGGAGGAACACGTGGCAACTTTAGTTTTTTATGGGCGCCGTTTTGGATTTTAACATTTTGAGATTAGGTCTTTTTTTTATCTTTACAACGATATATCACACATGGTGGTTCAGTATCACATTTTTCCTGAAAATACAATTTTCATTTTATGCGAAGAGTGCTAGGTATGCAAAAACAAAACGTTCTTTTGTTGTGAGCAAAATGTTGACTTATTTCAAGCAGTGTCATTTACGTTTGAGCTTGTTTTATTGCTAAAATATTATTTATCCTTATGTATTTTGTTCTAATTTGAATTATAATTTTCTTGCAAAACGAAGGTTCAATTCTGTTCATATGAAAATCGAATTTTCTCAACACATCTAGTTCCCTGATGCCAACACTGCAACCGGACATATGCATCAAACTGTCAAACTTTGGTTCACAATAAAAGAACGTTTTGTTTTTCCAAAGCCCAAAAAATTAAAAATTGTATTTTAGGAAAAATGTGATGCTGAACCACCATGTGTGATATATCGTCGTAAGGAGAAAAAAAGACGTAATCTGAAAATCTCAAAATTAAAAATGGCGCCCATAAGAAAAAGTAAAGTTGCCACGTGGTTCTCTGTCATCTTAAAAGTTATTTAAAACGAGATGTCACATTTGAAATCTCCATTGAAAAGTGTTCGAATAATGTGTTAATTAGAAATGTCTAGTACGACTAGTTTATCATGAAAAAATTAAAAACGAAAATCAGAAAGTTTCGTTTTTTTGCGATATTTTCAAAACTATTGATGATTTTTTAAATTTCTTTTCAGATGGTTATTCAGCAGGGAAATTCGCAACTTTGCCCCCATTTAACCAACTTTCTATCTCTTAAGGTAAGCGAGATCCCCATAGTGGCACTCGAAAAATGGACACCGTGTATATTGCAAAAAAATAATGTGGTTGAATAGAAAGTAAAAATGCCTTTAATTTGATGTGGCACTCCAAAATTCTTGAGGAGTTGCTGTGACACCCACGGGGTGGAGATTCCAAGTGTATGTTATAGATATTTCGTCCCCCTCAAAATCAAAATTGAGCTGTTTCGGAAGTTCTCCGAAAATGACCGCTTTTCCAGAAAAGGAGGGTCGAATTTTCGTTGGGACCCCCTGCATACTTACATATTCGTTTAATATCGGGCGATCGAAAATGATTGGTTGTCGAGTCGCCTTTGGAAGTTCAAGTTAAATATGATTTCCGAGATGATTTCACATGTAAACAAAAATTCCAAAGGCGACTAGACAGCCAATCATTTTTGATCGCATTGTATATCTTTAAAGCTGTCACACAACTAATTCTATTTACATTTACTACCTAGAAAGTACAAACTCTTACTAATGCTTATTTATGTACCGTAGGTACATCAATATTCCTTGTACTGGCTAGTGAGAATTAGACGGTAGACAGTACTAGTGTAATCCTAGATATCTAAAAAATGAACCGCACGTTGAATCAGTCATGAGCAGTACTAAATGGTACTGCTGT